TGTGAGTGTTCTGCAAGTCAAGCAAACATTTCTAATAATCTTTTTAAAATGTTTTTTCATTCATTTCGAGAAAGAGAGAGAGAGAGAGATTGAGTGCAAACAGGAAGGGCAGAGAGAGAATGCCAAGCAGTCTCCACATTGTCAGTGCAGAGCCCCATGTAGGGCTCGAACTGCGGAACTGTGAGATTATGACACGAGCCGAAATCAAGAGTCCGACGCTTCACTGACTGAGCCAGACAGGCGTCCTGACATTTCTCATCAATTTTAATTTGATAAACAAGTGACGTCTTGCAGTACGAGTAGTACACGATGCTGAATGCCACATGATCCCCACTGAGCCAAGGGTTCTTGAAATTCGCTTTGATAATACAAGTGCTTTGGATTACAAGCATGTTTCCGGATGAATTACACTCGCAAACCAAGGTTTTACTGTCCTAGCAAAATCTAGATTAACCTAGAGGCAAGTGTTTCTGTGCTGGTGCATGCAGTGGTGTTTAGGATTTCTGCCTTGGGACTTCTGACTACCTTTTAGGTTGAGGGGAAGAAAAGAACCAGGATTGTAGGCAAGTCTTCTCACCAGCTTCCCATGTCCGTGAAGGATAGCACTTGTGACTTACAGAGGTGATTGTGATGGAGCACTTGGCCTAGGATGTGACTTAAATAAACCAATTGTAGGCAGTGGTGGTGGCATATTTGTAGTAAGTAGGGTCGCCAAACAGGTCCATGAAAGAGCATGGAGCCTACGAGATGTAGCTCCATATTTTATCCTTGCTGAGAAGTCATTGTAAACACTGGCTTTCCAGAGGTGCCCATTAACCTGATTTTATTGGGGTTACATCCATTTGTTCTAGGTTGTACCTGGGTTAAGGGAAATGATTGTTTACCTGTAAAATTAGGCAATGTAACTTCTTTATATATACTTATTTTGGTAGAAGAGAGATTACTCTTCGTATTTTAAAAAACATTTAGTGGGTTTTTTTTTTTAATTTTTTTTTTTTCAACGTTTATTTATTTTTGGGACAGAGAGAGACAGAGCATGAACGGGGGAGGGGCAGAGAGAGAGGGAGACACAGAATCAGAAACAGGCTCCAGGCTCTGAGCCATCAGCCCAGAGCCTGATGCGGGGCTCGAACTCGCGGACCACGAGATCACGAGATCCCGCGAGATCGCGAGATCGTGACCTGGCTGAAGTCGGACGCTTAACCGACTGCGCCACCCAGGTGCCCCCATTTAGTGGGTTTTAACTATAAATAAAAAATACCATGATTTGAATCACCAGATATGTTAAATATATCTGGTCCCATAAATCCCTCTTTTCATTTTTGTTCTTTGGACTTGCAAAAGTAATTCTATCTACTAATAAAAGGTGTAGGTGTAGGTTTTACCACCCCCCCCCGCCCCCGCCCTGGCCCCCCTTAGCCTGAGGATGTAAGAACCAGATGGAAGTTAGGGAAAGGAAATTATGGGCTCATACCTGTGTAAAAACATATAGTTTATCATTGTTTAGAGCCTTTGATTCTCTTGTGGTATTTTCATTTTTGAATCTAGCTTAAGTCATGTGCAAGTTTTACCTTTCTATGATTTTTTCTTTTTGCCGACATAGCTCCTGTTTCAAATCCTGTTTTAAATGCTTTTCTATTAATGTGCAAAGTTGTCAGAAAAGTAAAGTAGTTCTCAAATAATTAAGAATTATCAAAATATTGTTCTCTCAAAGATCCTTATGTTTTTTTAATTTTTAAAAAATATTTATTTTGGAGAGAGAGAGAGAGAGAGAGAGCGAGCACAAGCAGGGGAGGGGTGGAGAGAGAGGGAGACACTGAATGTGAAGCAGGCTCCAGGGTCTTGAGCCGTCAGCACAGAGCCCGACACGGGGCTCAAACCCACGAACTGCGAGATCATGACCTGAGCTGAAGTCAGACGCTTAACCGACTGAGCCACCCAGGTGCCCCTAAAGATCCTTATTTGGTTGTGTGTTACAATTTGTCCAACAGGAAATATTGTGCAAAACAGTTTCACGTGGATTGACTAGGGCAACAGGAATGGCCGGTTCTCCTTATGCTTGTACAAATCAAATGCACAGCTTGTGAGAAATGTAACTTTTTATAGTTTCCTGTTTTACCTTGTTAAAGCCAGTTGGTAAAACAGGTTCATTAGTGAAGCTCCCAAGACCGAACCCAAGAAATCTTTATGCCACTATTTTCCACCTCTTGCAATTAGGTCAGCCAACTCCAGAAGGGGGCGTGGCTATGGCTTGCAGGCTTTTTTGGTAATGTAGACATTCTTATTTTTATTTTAATTTTTTAATGTTTATTTTTGAGAGAAAGAGAGAGACAGGGTGTGAACAGAGGAGGGGCAGAGAGAGAGGGAGACACAGAATCCGGAGCAGGCTCCTGGCTCTGAGCTGTCAGCACAGAGCCCGACGTGGGGCTGGAACCCACCAGCTGTGAGATCAGGACCTGAACCGAAGTCGGACGCTCAACCGACTGAGCCACCCAGGCGTCCCGACATTCTTACCTTTAAATTAATCTCTGTATAAAATGGAAAAAAAGAAATGAGCTCTTTGGTAAATACTGTCCTTCACTGCCTCATTCTTTGGAAAGCGCTTGTTCTTACGCTTTTCTCTTTATGAAGTGTGTATATTATTGGAGGGGAAAAGGTAGATATTAGGTTCTATACCCAATTCCAATTCCATTGTGTGTGGGGGAGGGGCTTCCCTACATCAATAAGCCATTCTGGGACACCAGCAGGGTATCTGAGAATTCACCTCAATAAGTCTTTTTTAAATTTTTTAAAATGTTTATTTTGAGAGAGAGAGAGTTTGGGAGCAGGGGAGGGGCAGAGAGCGGGACATAGAGAATCCCAAGCAGGTTCAGCACTGTCAATGCAGAGCGTGACATGGGGCTCAAACTCACGAACCGTGAGACCAGGACCTGACCTGAAATCGAGAGTCGGATCTTTAATCAGCTGAGCCCCCCAGGCGCCCCCTCACCTCAGTAATTCCGACACTGTCTACCTGGAGACAGCATCATGTCCCACAGGTTAAGGGCTCAGCCCTGCAAGACCGCCCTCCACCCCCTCTGCCCTGACTTCAGGCATCAGTGGGCAGCCCAGGTTGTCCCCTGTGCGCCTGGCTGACTGGCCATGGATCGAAGGTTCCACCGGCCCCCTCCTTGGGTTTGATTAATTTGCTAGAGCAGCTCACAGAATCCAGACATTTTACTTCCAGGGTTACCAGTCTGTTATAAAAGGATGTCACTCAGGAACAGCCAGGTGGCCGAGATGCTTGCACAGGGCGAGGTGTGGAACAAGAGTGCAGCTTCAGTGCTCTCTGAGTGTGCCACTCTCCCCGCACTTGCACGTGTTCACCAAGCAGGAAGCTCACCAAACCCCATCCACTCGGGTTTGTGTGGAGGCATGACTGATTCTGTCCTTGGTGTTGGCCATTGACTGAGCCTCCAGCCCCTCTCCTCTCTGCTCTCCTCTCCCTGAAGGTCAGGGTGGTGGGAGTTAAAGTTCTAAGCTGCTAATCACGTGCTTGGTTCCCCTGGCAACCAGCCCCTAGCCTTTGGTGCTTTCCAAAGGCTACCTCATTAACGTAACATAGACGCATGTCGCCTGCTGCTCTTCCCTGAGGAAATGCAGGGGTTTTAGGAACTCTTGGCCAGAAATAGGAGGACTAAATCCATGTCTCTTATTACGTGTGACAATGTCACAGGTAGATTTGTGTCTTGCAAGCCACACAACACAAAGCATATAGGTTTGAGTTCCTTCTGGCTCCCCCATTCTGAGCTGGGATACCCCAGTGTTTTAGGTGTTGGTGATGTTTTGTGTCCCATGTCACTCCAGTCCGTAAGTAGTGGCAAACATCTGTGAAGAAGCCTCCACCGTGAGTGTGAACAAGTCCACGGCTATGCGCTAGAGCAAGAGTAACCCACCGAAGTGGGCTGAAAGCCACGACCTTGGCCCTACTGCTAACTGGCCACGTTCTCTGGTTGCGGTTTTGATTCTACATGGACGTGCCATCACTTCATGAGGCCCGTTGCGCATCATCAGTGTGCTTGCTCTCTTTCAATTCTCTGCTGTCTGTTTTGTGTATCTATGCCAGAGCACAAGCAGGGATAAATAAATTTGCGTTCGTTTTTATTAGTGGCTTTAGAAAAGACTTTACGGAAGAGGAGGTAGAAATGACTGCCCTCCTCACTGCTGCTGTCCCTGAAGACACCTGAGAGTAGTAAGCTGTGTTTAGCGTGAGAAATGAGCCCACCGACCCAATCAAAGGAGGGACGCGGAGACTCGGAGCACAGTGAAGCGAGGCTTCAGTCATTGTTTTGCAAGAGCAGGTGTCTGATGATGGACAAGCAGTTACAGCAGACATTTTATCTCCTAGCGTGTAAGTCCCTCCCTTGGTTCCTCATTGGCTGAGTACTACAGAGGCAAGTCCCTCCCCTGGTTCCTCATTGGCTGAGTACTATAGAGGTTACAACTGACCCGGAAGTCCCCTATGCCCACGTAAGGCAAGAAGTTGTCTGATTGTAACAATGTACATTCCCTGTGGTGACCCAGAGACTTTCAGCCCCTCCTCCCTTTGTACTTTGGCGCATGCTCATTGTATGGCCCGTGAAAATAAGCCCGCAAACAGAGAGGGAAAGAAGAACCAGGAAGTGAAGTGTCTAAGGGTTGGATACCCATTGTTGGCAGCATTTGTACGTATTTCCAATAGGTTGTAAACCTACCATTAACTAAACGGCACAGCTTTTTTTTTGGTATTTCTGAAAATGAATCATCTCCCTTACTGCTCACATTTAGGAAAGGGAGGAAGAGATTTTGGGACCTCCAAACTTCCTTCTCAGCAGGCTGTCTCTCTCTTTTAACCTTCTAATCCATCATACAGGATGGTAGCCTTTGGAGTCTTCCTTCCAGAAGGCCTTGCTTAGGGCATGTTCATGAGTTAGTGACTCTGCACTCCCCTTTAATCCTTGGTGTTCTGTTCTCTCCTCCAGTCTTCCGTTTGTGCTAAGATTGTGCAGCTCCTGGGACAGAATGAGGTGGACTGTCGCCAGAAGCAGGTGGTTATCCTGAGCCAGGATAGCTTCTACCGTGTCCTCACTTCGGAGCAGAAGGCCAAAGCCTTGAAGGGCCAGTTCAATTTTGATCACCCGGGTGAGTCAGGACTTGAAGGTGTGTTTGTGTGCTGGTTCACTGAGGGAGTTGTTTAACCTCTTGGAGTCTGCTTCCACCTGTAAAAGGGAGGATTACTAAATACCTTGCGGGGTTATGGTGGGGCTCATATTAAAGAAGCCATTTTGAAACACATCACACATTGCATGAGTTTGTAAATACTGATTGAATCTGCATCTGAACGAGGGTGACTCCATAGGAGTCTGTTATTTGAGGTTGGCCAGACACAGGCTAGCACAAACACCTCTGCCTCCTCTGACCTGAAGCCTGTGTCACACCCTCCTCCCCACCTGCGCACACGTGTGCATGGCATGGTGTGAAACTCACTGGCAGAAAGGACTAAGGAGGGTCCAGGATGTCTGACAGTGATTTTTGCCCTGATGGTCCCAGATCAGCACATTGCCCTTTAACTGGTTTGGGTCCTTGTAACCACTGGAATCAAAACCTGTTGCCTCCCCGCGTCGTAAGTATGCTTTCCAGGTTAACTTATGCCAGTGCCCAAGGCAGCAGCTGAACTTGGAGGAGAGTGAGGCCTGAAGCCAAGGGTGGGATAGAAAGGTAGAAGAAAAGCAGGGTCTCAGAACTCATTCGTGTGTTCTATTTTGAGTCACAGGGAGTTTGCCTTCTGCTTTGGGTAGAGATCTGGCTTTTTGGGGTGGGTGTATATGCTCCTCTAGGGTGTGATATACATACATGAACTACATGTGTAAGATTATAGGAGAAATCGTTTTAAAATCGAGAAACATTTTAACAGTTTGGTTTCCTTCAGATGCCTTTGACAATGAACTCATCTTCAAAACACTCAAAGAAATCACTGAAGGGAAAACAGTACAGATTCCCGTGTATGATTTTGTCTCTCATTCCCGGTAAGTGACCTGCTCCTGGGCTGGGCGTTGTTCCTTGTAGTTCCCCGAGCATTCCCGTTTGTCAAGTTGCAGCCAGGGTCCTCCCCTGTGTGGTACCCACTGCAGCCTGTTAGCATGTGCGTGGGTGGGCACGGCTTGGGGACTTTACCCAGCGCTTCCTGGGACCGTCTGCTCATCACGATTTGCTAACTCTGAAAGGACAAGTTCACGAATTTGGGCTCAGGTGAGGGACTACGTATTTGTCCTGATTCACATCCCTGAGCTGTTGTTCCTGGAATAAGATGTAAAGGGGCTGGGCACAGGACACAGGAAGAAGAGCAAAGGAAACTGTTCTATCTTCTCTCCTGGTTTACTTTGAATTGGACCGCGCAGAGAGGTGTGAGGGCGCTGAGGTCACCAGAGATGGGACACTGAACTCTCGGGAGAGCTTCTCAGTCCTGTCCCTTCCGCGGCTCTGTGTTTGTGCTCCTGATTAGGAATGGAGGAGTGTGGCTTGACCTCCGTCCTGTCTTCCTTCCCTCTGCGTGGTTGCAGGGGGCTCCTGGCCAGACCCCCCCAAATTCCTTCGAGCCTCCAGGGACTCTGCTCACTCAGGACTTCCCAGGCAGACGCTAAACTTCTGACTGGTATATCAACCGCACGTAGTCGCTCCATATTCTGGGCTACAAATCGCTCAGTAAGTGGTGTTTTCAGCCCTTTGCTGTTTTGAAGGCTTCTCCCACCTGGTTATCATTCCACCTTCTTCTTGATTCCTTGACTTCGTTCTCTCCAGTGGAATTTTTTATTTATTTATTTTTTAAAAAAATTAATTCATTTTTGAGAGAGAGAGAGAGAGAGAGAGAGAGAGCATGAGCAGGGGAGGGACTGACAGAGACGGAGACGCAGAATCTGAAGCAGGTTCTAGGCTCCGAGCTGTCAGCAGAGCCTGACGCGGGGCTTGAACCTGTGAACCACGAGATCATGACCTGAGCCAAAGTCAGGCACTTAAACTGACTGAGTGCCCCTTGGGTGGAGTTTTTTTTGTTTTTTTTTTTAATGGGAAATTAGATTTCATCTTTTACTACCACATATCTCTATAATTTTGTTTAATGTTGTTTATTTTATTTTCTTAAATTTAAGTCCAAGTTCGTTACCATATAGTGCAATAATGATTTCAGGAGTAGAATCTAGTGATTTATCCCCCGCATAGAACACCCAGTGCTCATCCCAACAAGTGTCCTTAATGCCCCTCCCCCATTTAGCCCATCCCCCACTCAGCACCCTGCCAGCAACCCTTAGTTTGTTCTGTGTATTTAAGAGTGTGTTATGGTTGTCTCCCTCTCTGTTTTTATATTTTTGCTTCCTTTCCCTTATGTTCTCTGTTTTTTATCTTAAATTCCACATATGAGTGAAAACATTTTTTTTTGTCTTTCTCTAATTTCGCTCAACACAATACACTCTAGTTCAATCCGTGTTGCTGCAAATGGCAAGATTTCATTCTTTTTGATGGCCGAGTAATATTCCGTTGTATGTATAAATCACATCTGTACATTCATCTGTTGATGGCCAAATGTTTCTATAATTAAAAGCCCATCCTGAGGCACCTGGTGACTCAGTCAGTTGAGTGTCTGACTCTTGATTTCGGATAAGGTCATGATCCTAGGGTCATGGGATCAAGCCCGGCACCTAGGTCCACACTAAGCGCAGAGCCTGCTTAAGATTCTCTCTCTGCCCGTTCCCCCCATCTTGTGTTCTCTCTCTCTCTCTCTCTCTCTTTCTCTCTCAAAAAAACCAAAACAAAACAAAAATCTGGAGTTCTGTCACTGTTCTAAGAGAGTATCTTCTGACCGTACTCACCTGGTCCTTTATTGCTGTCATTTACACCCTACATTCTGCCACTTTGGCATTGTTTTAACAGTGTCTGCCTTGGAAATTAGACAGGAACCCAAGGGTCTGAGCTAAGAAGGAATCGAGGAGTGTTTATGGGAGGGAAGTTCAGTGCACCCTCTTGGGTTGGTAGCTGCTGGCTTCCCTGTGTTTGCACAGATAAACCTCTTGTCCTTTCTCTTTTATATAAAGTTTATTATTTTGAGAGAGACGGAGACAATGTGAGTGGGGGAGGGGCAGAGGAAGATGGAGATTCCCAAGCAGGCTCCACACTGCCAGTGCAGAGCTAGATGGAGGGCTCGAACCCTTGAAACTGTGAGGTCATGACCTCAGCTGAAACCAAGAGCTGGACGCTTAACCGACTGAGCCACCCAGGTGCCCTTATTGGCTTTTTTTGTTTTGTTTTTAGTTTTATTTATTTATTTATTTTGAGAGAGAGCGTGCGAGCCAGTGAGCATGAGCGGAGGAGGGGCAGAGACAGAGGGAGAGAGAGAATCCCCAGCAGGCTTCGCACAGTCAGCATGGAGCCCGTTGCGGGGCTCGATCTCACCAACCGTGAGGTCATGACCTGAGCCGAAACCAAGAGCCAGACGCTTAACGGACTGAGCCACCCAGGCGCCCCGATGGACGTATCGTCTTAAGGAACTTAAAAAATAATGCTTCATTCGGTTTTATTCACCAATGCCCGCGTGAGGAGTTAACCTTGCGGTGGTAATCATGACTTCCCTTTCAGTGACTTTGGAGCTAGAGGCAGTAGGTGACAGTGCAGCCTAGGGTGGTTAGGACAGAGTCAGATGGTAAGAATGCTCTGAAAATGCAGGCAAGGCGCAACTCGGCCCATGGCCTCCCTTTATCGCATTCGGCCTCCCTTTATCACATTCGGCAACAGAACCCACCCCGCCCGCCTTGCTTTTGAAAAGCCCTCTATTTGCTAATATCTGCCTTGGGCTACCCAGCCCTGTGGGGTAGGTGGTGATGCAGGACCCCTGCATCAGTGATGAGGGGGAGGGAGCAGCGCCCTGCAGCCCTGGACCCCACAGGCCCTGACCCACGGCCATGGCCACACCATGCCACGCCACGCCACGGCGCTTCTGCTAGCCGTAGGGGCCGACCCCACAGAGCTCGGGAGTCTTTCCTTCCCTGGAGATGCTTCCTCCCCTCACCTCTCTTTACAACTTCCTTTTCGCCTCCCTCCCTCCCTCCCTGCCGGCCCTTCCTCTCCTCTCCAGTTGCCTCAGGACAGCGGGGAAGGGGTAGGGTTGTTGGGAGAAAACTGTGAGGTTCTGTTTGTGAAAGCTCCAGGTTAGGTTCCATCAATGCCCGTGCGCGAGAGCATTCCCCCAGACGCCTCCGGAGAAAAGAAGAAATCGCATCTGCTTCTGTCTGTCTCTGTTGTGCGTTCAACACACAGCAGGCTGTTTATTCCAAGGAGAGGGATGACGGGCTTCGATTTCTGCTTTATGGCCAGAGCCCAGAAGAACTGGTCAAAGGGGACCTTTGCCCCGGTGCTGCTGGCCCTTTGGTGGGTCTTCAGTGGTGGTCCGAGGGCTCTGCCAGGCTGTGTTAGCTCTACCCCCTTTCGGTCCTGCTGTAGGAAAGGACCCCAGACTCCCAGACAGATGCTGTTCCTGCCCCGTCGCCCACCCTGCCCGGTTCGGCCCGTCATGCGCTCTGTGTTTTGCAGGAAGGAGGAGACGGTCACTGTCTATCCCGCAGACGTGGTGCTCTTTGAAGGGATCCTGGCCTTCTACTCCCAGGAAGTACGAGACCTGTTCCAGATGAAGCTTTTCGTGGACACAGATGCCGACACGCGGCTCTCCCGCAGAGGTGCGTTCTAGAAAGCCCCCAGTGGCCGCGTGGGTGGCCCAGCCCAGCCGAGTCCAATCAGCTCCAGGGCATCCTGCTGCCCAAACATTTGGTGACCTCTGAGAAGGGATTAGTCACTGTTTCGGATGACGGAAGGCTTGTGAGGTCACGGAGGTGAAACGAGACGTTTACGTTTTGGTTTCGCTGGAAAAAGGTTTGGTTAAATGCCCAGTTCTTACTGGTTTTCCCACAGGCATCGTAATCTACACCGGAGCTAACTGTAGGAGGTGTGGGTGCAGGAGTGCCCTGTGCCTGTGGCACCAGGCTGCTTCTCTAGCCCTGATTTTCCAGAAAGCTCTGTGGAGGTTTTGTCATTCTGTCCAGCCGGCTGTGGAGCAAAGTCGGTCGGTCAGTTCCTCTGCAGGGCTATTTGGGAGTGTGCCTGTGCGAGTCCCCATGCCATGGGGTCCCAAGGACACAGAACTGCCCGTCGGTGGAGAGGAGAGCCCTTGCCTCCACCCGAGGGATTGGGAAACTTCATGCAGGGTGTGGTAGAGTGATGACGAGACAACCCAAGAAGTCACATCGTGCAAATATAGACACACGGGGCTCGTGCATTCATTTCTAGAGACACTAGAAATTGCTTGATGCAGATTGTGGGGACTGTGGCTTCTGATTCGGTTCCTGGAAGAGGAGGGAGAGGTACCAAGGGGTTTTGAGCAGGGGTGGGGAGGGGTGAGAAGGTACCAGCAGAGTTAGGAAAGGACACCCCCCATGGGGGCGGCGGGTGGGGGCGAGGAAGGCTTCGAGTCCGCATCGTGTGGAAGAGGAACATGACCTAGGAAGTGACAAGGTGGCTCCTAGTCACAGAGCAAATCCTGGGCACTTTGGAGTTTTGTAAGCTCCAGCCCGGAGCCTTCTGACCTCAGAGCCTGTGACATTTTCTCTTCTCGGTTCACAAAACCAACTTGGAGTTTATCTCCATCAGTCCTCTCACGGCAAGAACTATAAGTGAAACCAGCAGAATCCAGGGAAATGAGTTTTGCCCTCCCAAGTAGTAGTGTCTACACTCTACTAAGTGAGTTGTTGTTACACTTCCACTCCCAGGTGGGGTGGGGGAGGGGTAGAACTCCATGATGGATAAAAGGAGACTAGGAGGCCCCTATTCTAGCCCCATAGCCTCCAGCTACCTTTGTGACTTTGGTGGCCCTTGTGACTCCTGTAACCTCCCACGCTTGGGTTTCTTTATGAGGGAGGCAAGCCTGTTTTTTGGGTCAGGACTCTGGCCAGGTAAGAAGTTACGTGGTCTTTTTTAGTAGATAATCGAGGCCTGAGGCTGACGGTCCATCACACAGCTGTCCCAGGGCCTGGTTTATCACCTCAGTCCCCAAAGCCAGGCCTTGCCTTGGGTGATCTGCTGGATGTCCCCATCAGTCTGCCAAATCAGGGAAGCAGTATGATGCTCCAGGGGAAGAAATTGGAATCAGAGGAACTGGACTTAAATCCTGATTTCACCATTTCGTAGACGTGTGACCTCGGGCAGGTTACGCATTAACTTCTTTGTCCCTCATAAATCGGAATCACCCCAGTGGTTGATCATGTCAAGATCAGGACCCCTGGGTTGTGATGATCAGAGGTAACGTGGGTAGAATGCCGGGTGGCGCATTAGTTGATAACAATTGCTGGGTTAGATCGGAAGTCCGCTTTGATAGATGGTAGGTGTTCTGTTTTCCTGAGTTTTCCCGGCGGGACTAGTTGGAACCTGTGAGCGGTCACATTCTCACGAGCTGGGATGCGAGGCTGATACCATCATTTGGGGACTGAAGTTATGCTTGAGGGAGCAGGACGTGTGAGGTGTGGCACAGGGGATGAGGACCAAGATTTGGGAATAGAGAATTCAGCGCCCTTGGAAATCAGACGACTTTGGCCTTTAATTCAAACAGATCATCATGGCGCCGATGACACAGAAAATTCTCCCTTGCTCTCTGGTGCTGGGATCCTTCTGTGACAGTGAGGATGGTAGCCTCCTGTGGGTTTCTCTGGGTCGGTTCAATGACCCCTGCAGGGAGGCTCCCACTTTCTCTCCTATGCCTTCCGTCTTCTCAGGTCACCCGCTGGAGAGTTATTCTCCTGGTGGACTTTCAGGGCCTTTCCACATGCTGTTTCTACAAACTCTGTCCACATAGGACCAAAACCATGCCTGGCATGTGCTTTGGGGGATGGGAGGGTGTGGGGTAAGGGAGAGGGTGGGTTAGTCAGGAGCAGCTGCTGGGCCTAAGAACATTCCTGGAGACTTGAGTTGGTGCCGCAGTTTCACCCTTCTGTGTGTCATACTTCCCGGGCCGGTTACCCTTATGATCAAAGTTGACCTTCCCATGGGAGGGGGGATTTGCCTTTGGTCCACGCAGCCTTGGAAAGACCTCCCTCCATCCCATGGGAACCCCTTGTACTTTGGGGAATTGGCTTCTTCCAGCCTTCATCTTCCCTCCGTGTGTGTTATTGACTCCCACCCACCCTTGAACTCGGGGACAGGGAAGAACTGAGGCAGGGGTCCAAGGTCCCCTGACACCTACTCTCTCTCCTGCCATAATTCTCTGTGTCCGGTTCCCATAGCATCAGGGCTCTGGTGGACGGTCAGTCTCTTCTATTGCTAGAGTAACACATCTCCTCAACTAATTAAAACAAAAATTTTTTTTAATGTTTATTTTTGAGAGAGACAGAGCACGAGCAAGGGAGGGGCAGAGAGAGAGGAAGTCACAGAATCCGAAGCAGGCTCCAGGCTCTGAGCTGTCGGCACAGGGCCCAGTGTGGGGCCCGAACCCATGAACCATGAGATCATGACCTGAGCCGAAGTCGGACGCTCAGCCAAATGAGCCACCCAGGTGCCCCTTGACTAATTTTTAAAGTGAATTGGCTTAACCACCAAGGAATTGTATTTATCCTGGGGCCTTCTGAATTTCGTTCTTGACTTTGGCTGACCAGAAGGAGCACTTTGGAAAGGCTGCCGTGGAAGCCCCAGGCGGGGAAGGGGGAAGGTGGGCGGACGTGTAGTGAGTTTCCTGCTTTTTACCCCCCCTCCTCTGAAAGGGTCTTTCCTGGCCAAGCGAATGTGCCGAGGTCAGAGTGATCATCAAGGAGCTGGTTTGGAGTCCCTGCAGTTTCCGGTCTGTGCCAAGACCTTGTTGTGACTCAGTGCTTGGCTTGGCCCCGTTTCCTGACTTCGCCCGAGGAGCAGGGCAGTTCCGCGCAGTGTTGTCTGGGCTCAGGGAGGGGTCTCGGGCTGTTGAAGGCGATAACGCGGTGGAAGCTTCTCCGAGAGCGGAGGTGGGTGATGCCTTTTGAATTTGCACATTCCCCGTGTCTGGGCAACATCCTCACCCATTTCCTGTTTCCTTTTCCAGGGCAGAAACTGTAGGAGGGCTTCTCTCCGTCTTCCCTGTTGCTCCCTTCTCCGCTGTGTCTTCCCACGTGTACCTCTCCCTGTGTTCCTAAGTGATGACTTTGAGAAAGTCTCTGCGTATCACTGTCTCTGTTTTCCAGTTCAGGAAAATGAGGTGCAGAAAGGTTGAATAACTTGTCTAAGGTCACAGAGAGGTAAGAGTGGGGTCAGGATTCAAGTGCAGGGCCATTTTGCCTGCATTGATCTAGATGGTGGATGGGGAGGCAGCTCTGGGCCTCAGAGCTGGCTCCCCGTGACTCTCCTGCTCCATCCGCTTTCTCCCCGGCCCTCACTCGGTGACGCTGCAGGTCACCGAGCTCTGTGGTCTGCCGGTTACAAGGGAGCTGCAGGCCGGGGCCGAGGGCCGTGGCACAGCTACGGGAGAGCCCGTGTGCCCGTGTGTGCACGTTTGGGGGGGAGGTGGGGCAGGACAACGGTTCCCAGGCTGCTTAAAGCCGTCAGCACTTGTGATGCTTTCCCTGGGAAACAAACCCACATCGGGCTTTTGCAGGGCTTTCAAGTAAAAGCTGCCCAAGTGCGGGCGTGTGTTTGTTTTTTCCCCAGCTGTGATAACCCTTTGCTCCGGCTTCCTTTATTCTTTGTACTTTACCTGGAGACGTGAAGAATTGGAGGCCACGCCGCCTGTGTGTTTTGGCCGAGGGGAGCTAGTTAGCCGGCGCGCCAGGGCTCTCGAGGCCTGTGGGGGTGAGCCACGTGGCCGCCCTTGGGCCTTCTTCGTGGCCGAGCTGCCGGGCCCCAAGTCAGAATGCCCGAGAGCACCACTTCCTGGCTGGGGAGTCCGGGGGGGGGGGGCAGCGGGCGACCAGGAGGGGCTCTGAGGCAAGTGGTGACGCATTAGCGGCCAACCAGCCATCTTGTGACCAGGGCTCAGGCCGGAAAACGTCCTTGTAAGTTGCGGAGCTGGTGGAAAGGTCAAGTGGTGGTAGCGGTATCACGTGACTCTCTGGACCGTGGTCTTCGAGACCGTGTTCTAGCCATCTAATCTCACGGACGTCATGCCAGCCCGAATCCTAACCACGACCGCCCTTGCCCTGCGCGTGCCTGTGTGCGGGGGTGCGCGGAAGCACAGAATTATCTGGAGACATGGCTTTCCAGAAGTTCACTCACAAGTGTTCCCCGGTTTGTTTGCAGTGAGTTTCATCCCCTGCTGTGTCTGTAACTTGAGAAATGGTTGAGTCGAGGGGCCTCTGCAGATGGTTGTTGATGGTAGGACCCCGCCTTGGGGTGGGGGTGGAAGATGGAGGAACTGGGGGGGGGGCCAAGATTTAAGACGGCCCCTGTAGGGCGGGGCCGTTTTCACCGAGAGATTTTCCTTCCAAACTCTCACTGCTAACTTTGGGGGAAACCGAGGATCAGGGTGGTTAGCGATGGAGCGGAAAACTAAGATTCCAGTCCCTTAGGGGGTCAGACCTTTTTCTGCTTCGTTTTGTTTTGTTATCACTTTTTAAAATGTTTGTTTTTGAGACACAGAGAGACAGAGCACAAGTTGGGGGAGGGGCAGAGAGAGAGAGAGAGGGAGACACAGAATCTGAAGCAGGGTCCAGGTGCTGAGCTGTCAGCACAGAGCCCGATGTGGGGCCCGAACCCGTGAACTGTGAGATCACGACCTGAGCCGAAGTTGGACGCTTAACCCACTGGGCCACGCAGGCGCCCCAGACCTTTTTCTGTTTTTTTGACAACAGACTCTGTTAAAATAATAAAGGTGTTTGTCGAAAGCCCCTGGCTAACACTGCCCGAGAGGAAGAAGGTGGGTGATGATGAGTCCCGCTGGGTGGCCACACCATCTCTAAAACCATGCTTTTCTCATCTTTCATTAAGTGGTTTTCTCTTGGCAAACCTCTATGCTGGAGGTTAGCAGGAATGGCCGACCCAGCAGCTGGACCCTCTGCCTTCCCTCCTCCCTGGGGGGGCTGGAAGGTGGGGGGAGCCGGGTGTGTAAGGTGGCACATCAGTAGGTCAGTGGCCTGTGCACAGGTAAGTAAGTGCGAGGGGACGGCTCAAGGTGTGCGTGGGGCTCCTTTGCTGGGGAGTCCTGCCACCTCCTGGGGCCCCATCTACTTCCTGTTACGAGCTCTGTAGGACTGTCCTGCTTTTTATGTCGTTCACGCTGAAATTTTATTCGGGTCCAATGCTGCTTGAAACACGAAGACTGTTGGCTTAGGCTGGACGGCCTTTGGTCATAGCCACGTGGGACGATAGCAATAAAAATGTAACTTGTTTTTCTTGAAGCTGCTGCCGACCTGCTCTTGGTCAAGTCTCTCGGGAATCCGGGCTGTGAATCATCCAGATCAATCGTGGAGTCCGTGTGAGCTGGGTCTGCCTCCTGAAGGGCAGACATGTGTTGGCTCGTGCACCATTTTCTTGATTCTTGTTTTTCCTTTTCTTATAGTATTAAGGGACATCAGCGAAAGAGGGAGGGACCTTGAGCAGATTTTATCTCAGTACATTACGTTCGTCAAGCCTGCCTTTGAGGAATTCTGCTTGCCAGTGAGTTGCGTTCTTGGTTTGTTTTTTGTTGAATTTAGAATGTAAAACCTGATCGTACCAGTAAAGCTACATAAGTTGACGGAGCCCCCAGCCTGAATCCCATTCCTCTCCGAGTGATCCTCTCTCCCGAAGCCCCACGAAAGGGCAGCCTTTGGGGCTCTGTGTGCTACCACTGTGTTCCCCAGGAGCTGTCAGAGTGGTCCCTCAGGGTCCCGCTGTCTGATTCCAGCCAGCTCTGCTCTTGTTGCTTGGCGGCCTCGAGGTGTGAGGGTGCGTCAGGTCTCAGCACAGACTCGGCCATCTGGATCTTCAAAAGGTCTATGATGGTTGCCGTGTTGGTGCAGGGAGGGCTCAGCTACCAGTTATTTCCTTCTGAATCTCTTCTGCCACGACATTGAGCCCCCGCTTTGAGCTTGTCTTTGGCCCCTGTGTAAGTTCCCCTATGGGAAGTGTCCCACCATGTAAGCTTCCATACTTCTGCCCTAGTATAGATTCATCTTTCCTCCTGTGGCAGCTGGGAACTCTCTGGTGGGGTGGCTTTCAGAGAAGGAAGGTTGAAGATATGGGGAATTTTTAGGCGTTAGTGAATCGGCCCTCAGCCTCCTGAGGACAGACAGGTGAATGTCGAGAGGCGACCACCAGGGACAAAAGGTGTGGAGTGGTGGGAGGTTAGTGGTGGAGGAAAACGCAGGAGATGACGTCGTTTGACAGGGAGAAACGTTTAACTCAGGAGACTTCTGCACCTGTATCATGTGTCTTCCCCGGGTTGGCCTCCCCATGGTCTGACTCCCTAACAATTTAATCATTAGGCTGTAAGAGTGGGGAGATGTTGGGACTTAGTCTGATCTTGGGTGATCTCTTTTGAGAGAGTGGAATATGAGGGCATTGAGAAGAGGTGTAGAGTGAGGCTGAGTGTGGGAATTTCTCTGTTTCTCCTGGTGATTAACTTCTTTCTTTCTCCTGGAAAAATAGGATCTCCAACTATCTGTTCCTTTAAGTCTGTTAGTGGGGTTTTGCGTCAAAGCAGACAAGACTTTTTGTTTCAGATCGGGGACAGGTGGACTTTCGGAGTCAGCCTGAGTAACGCTGATGCCCTATTCATTCCCCCAGAGAGGATTGGGTCACAGGATCAGGTTTCTGGGTAGAGAGCACAAGGGGCTGAGAAGCCAGGAAATTCTATCCATCCATCTATCTGTCGGAGGACTTCTGCTCTTTTCAACTTAAAAAGAACCCATGGTAAACTTGTGATTGTACATAAATTAGAGGTAACTGCCAATTTTCTGCTGTTTAACTTAGTTGTAATGGAGCTTAAAGTTCTGCACGTTTTCTGGGTGGTTTCTACTTTTTCCAGCCACTCTGTGCTCAGCGAAGATCAGGTCATTCCCACGTAAGCCAGGAGCTCGGACCTGATAAATTGCCTCCTTCGGGTTGGGTTTGGGCCGGACACACATGAATCTGAATGGTTTCTGTGTAGAAGCTGCCTGGAGTAAAGATGTCCATGGTCTGAAGTCATGGTCATGTGGTCTTAACCTAAACTTGGGTCATACACCAGGACATAGTTATTTGTAAATTGGTCCACAAAATCTCAGTAAAATAAAAAGCAAAAACAAAAACAAAAAAGGGAATGCTTCGAATTGTGGCTTTCCCCGCGCCCCCCCCCCGCCCCAGCCAAGTGTGATAACAGAGCCAGTGAAAGTGGTCATCAGTGGGGGTTGTTTTTCCGGGGTTTACCCTTGTGTTAGGGTTCATGGTGTCACCTCTCAGACTGTGTCCACACGTCCAAGGTGAACTGCTTCCCTTTTCAACTGGGTTTTTCTAATTCATATTTTTCTTAGTAGGGAGAAAGCAATTATGAGTTTCGTTTCAAAGACCACGTTCTCTGTGTAGGTCATAAGCTTAAACTGTATTAAATATTAGTAATGAGAAATCAAGAGAAAGCTGCTGTATTGTAGTTTAGAGAAAGGGACTAGAAGATAATTACGCCACTGTGTGGGGTCAGTAGTAGGAAGGCTGACCCTTTCCCCTTAGCCTCACATTGACAGGGGCGTGGGCTCGCTTCTCTGGAACCCCCCTGTAATGCATTGTGAATATCTTTCTCCACAGACAAAGAAATACGCTGATGTGATCATTCCTAGAGGTGCAGATAATCTAGGTGAGTGGTGGTCGAGGGTCCTCTCGTAGGGCATCACTTGTATTCTACCCTTTGTCAATCAGACTTTGGGACAGGATGTGGTGACCAGACAAGGCTCCATGGACAGGGCCGAACCACTGGTCTGCTCTTGGGAGCCAGAAAGAAATTTCTGCCTACATGCCTGGCCTTGGGAACAGGCCCCTTTGCATACGTGTGTGTGTGTGTGTGTGTGTGTGTGTGTGTGTGTGTGTGTGTGT